TTTTCTCATACCACAAATTTCATTCATATTATAAATTACCCATGAAATTAACCAATTGATCATCACTCTATTTGCAAATTGGCATACATGTATTTACAGTTTTGCTATAGAGCCATCGGATGGTTCGACTTATGGGGCAATCCACACTTATCCACCAATGGTGTATTGACACGTGTCCTACAATAAATACAATTTGGACATGTATCAATATATTAAGCGATTGATGGCTCCATAAGAAAACCATCCGATTGCTCCAGATAATCTTTGCATGTCTTTAAAGCAAAATGTTGCTTTTAACATATCATTTTGCAAATAAACTTTGATACATATAACTAATGTGTAAGGTCATAAATTGTTGAAATTAACGTTCATGTGATTTGTAATATCATAAATTTTGTTTAATTATTATATATGTATTAATTAAACCCATCAGTTTAGTTTTATATTAATAATAATTAAAGATACTTAATAAATGTTGTGCAACAAGACTGTTAATTAACGTAAACAACAAAAAATTTGCAGTCAAATGATAGAGATTTCACCGACACATGTGGGATTATATGATAGTAGTAATAAACATAATTAATAAGCTCACCATTAACAAAAGTTTAATAGTAAAGTCTGCACGAAGATCTTAGCGAAGAGTACATCCAAAGTTATTTGTTTGTTAACACAAAAAAGGCCAGTGGAGAGTATCAGAGTAAGGGCTAAACGACGGGTCAACAAAAGCACCTGCAAAATTGTACTATGCTCTCTATGTTTTTGGTGTATATATTCAAACGGTTTATTTGGATTCAACTAGTTTTTATTTAGTTTGTTTTTTTTTAATTATAGTTAATTTTGAAAAAATGTAGAATGGTTAGTTGTTAGTGAATATATTAAAATAATATTTAAATAAAATAATTAAAGTTGATTTGATGTAAAGTAGGTAAAAATTATTGGAAGTGATTTTAGTTAAAATTGTGTGAGTTGATAAATAGTGAATTAAAGTTAATGTTGTGTGTAAGAATTATTGTTTCATATTATATAATTATATTGATAATATTGGAGATAATATAGTTGGGTTAAAGTTGAGTTAAATTTAAGTTTTGATTTATTTTTTTATTGTTGAAACTATATCCAATCGCCTCCTAAATTATCGCGGCAATGACTACCTCACTCTCCACATTCATAATATTATTCCTAATATATAAATTTTAGACGTTTTGTCACGAAACAATCACTTGATACAAATTAATTATAAAGTCATTCACAATTATTCACTAACATATAGAGTAACGTGTTTTAAAATAAATAAATTTTGGAACACGTGTTAATACATTAATGAAGAAAGCATCCATTGGTTCAATAAAACTTTCACTAAATTTTAATGTAAAGTTGTGTGAGTGTGTGTGAGAGAGAGATGACTAATGGTTAGTTATATCAATCTAATTTGAAGTAATTGGTAAAAGAGTGAGCATGAAGGCTATAGGTAATAATGAAAACTTGTATTGTACTCCTTATTTTCTCATCATTTTTAGATTAATGTGGATTTAAAACATACTTAGCTTGTTGTTTGTTAGGGGATTTGTGTTAAATTAGCGGATCGAACCTCATTTAGATGATTGACCAATTAATTCTATTAATTAGCTTTATTTAGTAAATAAATTATTTGATTAGCTCTTCGGACTCAAAATGTTAGTTATCATAAAAAAAAAACATAATTTCTGGAAAAGAAAAAATGTTATTAAAATAAAATAATACAACGTAACAATTAAAAATGTTCACTATTTGTTAAACGAATTTTAACAACCTACTAATCTGAATATATGTTAGTCAAATAATTAAGTTATCGACTAATAATACACAAAAAAAAAAAAAAAAAACCATTAAGATAAGCTTGGAAGAAGAAAATCGTTTTTTGATAGTGAAAGGGGTAGAGAAGACACCATTTTCCTTTGTTCTTTTTTTCGTTTATGGACTTCTTCAGCTTAAAAGCCAATGTGAAATTGGTGGTTTCTCATTTTATATATATTTGACTTTATTATGGAATTAGTATAGAATTTTCTTCATGACCAACAAAAGCTTCGGTATTCATATATAAATTTAATTAATTAATAATATTCCCAGCAGTCTTGATTGGCATTTTTTACTTAAGCTTTTATGGCGTGAATGGTGTGTGTCATCTGAATATTTTATATCATTCCTCAATACAACCACTTTGACTTATATACAATACATATTAATACTACTTTTCATACCATGGTGCACAATATTTTATGCATGATAGTGTGTATAAAAAATACCATGTAGAGAGTAAACGAAACGAGCTGCACACAAACTCGACTTTATTTGCCTCGTCTGATGAATGACCAGAACTCGTGCTCGTTTAATAGTTATATAATTAACAAGTCGAATTGAGTTATGCTTAATAAATAGAGATTCTTACATAATTTTCGAACTTTCAACATGGTTTGGCTCAAGGGCTTGAGCTCTCTAACTCAATTCAACTCAACAACTCTAATTACCTGTAGTTCACAAGCTCAAAATTTGAAAGTTGGACTTGAAGTGGCCTGCTGGTATATAACCCACAACTCAATGGGCTTTGACTAAGGTCTTCTTTTTATTAAAAAAAAAAAAAAATGTCTAAATAAGGGAGGAAACGACAACTAAACGTAGTATAACTGTTCAGCTGATTCATTGTTAAGCCCAGCCTAGTGGCCCAGTCTAAGCCCAAACGATAAGCCCAAAAAGAAGGCACAAAATAGAGTTGATTCTTTTATTTGGAAACCAGGTTTCCTCCGCTCATTGGGCATATATACTTTGCTTGCCTCGACTCCAATTTTATTATACTTGCACCAACTAATTAACTAATTATTCCTAGTCATTTCCATTAATTAATAAAAATATTAAAATTATAATTTTTTTTTTAAAGAAGCACTATAACAATTATTGACAATTAGTTTAAATATAAAATTATTATTCAATAAATCACGTGTAAATGCAGTTAATTGTTATTTTCATTACAGAAAAGACTACAATCCTGTCACAGAATGATTCAATCAAGGTTTTTAGTTATTAAATAAACATGTAACTTCCATGTATCTACAATAATTGTATATTTAATGGCTAAAACCCTCATAGAATCATTCTTTACGGGATTGTAGACTTTTCCATAATCAGTTTTACTATGGAGTCATCGGATGGTTCGACTTACGAAGTCATCCACACTTATTCACCAATAGTGTATTGACACGAGACTTACAATAAATACAATTTAAAAATGTGTCAATACATTAAATGGTGGATGGCTCCACGAGAAAACCATACACTTCACATAATTTTTGTTTCCACAATAATTTAGAATGATGTAAAGTGAATCGAGTTATTAGAGCTAGCTTATTAATGTTAATACTGATAATTTACGGCTTCGGAAAAAGATTGAGGTCGAGCAGAAGCAAGAGACCGACACGATGCCACCTACCAAACAGATTCAGTGGGTCCCACATCCAAACCTCAGGCTGACGTGTCAGTCACCTTTTCATTTTGTTTCCCCTTTAATCAAAATCCCCACAAAATTTTCCGCCCAGTGGGTTCTTCTTCATTCGCTTCGCCCTCTCTAAACCCTCACCTACTCATTCACGCACGCGCACAAATCTGTTCCTGAAAATGAGCATCAGTTTAGAGATGGCCGCGCTTGGAAACCCTAGTTCCAGCTTGACCAGAGGCGCTCCTGCTTCTATGGCGCTGTGTCGCGCGTCGCCGGCCCAGCTAGGGTTTGGAGCTCGGTGCAGAGGTAAAATCCGCTGCAGCTTGTCGGTGTCGGCGCTTCCGGCGGTCTTCGGCGTTGACCTGCGGCGAAGAAGTTTGCGAAAACGATCTGTTCCCTCGTTTGCAGCCTCTCACGAGGAATCGGTAAGGCCAGGCTAGATAAGTTTTCATGTGCTGCGAGCAGATTGGTTACGTTTATTTCCTTGCGCTTCGACTAGAGGTTAATTTTTAGTTGATGGGCCTCGAAGTTAAGTAAAAGATCAGATTTTTTTTTTTCTTTCTTTCGTTATTTTCTGAGAAGTGATGCGGAATAGTTGCGCGAGTTTCAGATTGATTTTTTCAGTGTATTAATTTATAACAGTGTATAAAAATCAGTAGTTATAGATTAATATCAACACTAAAAGAAATTTTATTGAACACCTTGTTTTGATTCTCAGAAGTTGAACTAGTTTATGAATGGCAAGTGGGCTCAAGTGGGCTGTGAACATCAACATCTATATAGACCTTTGTGTGTAAGCTCGAGATTTATTTGGTTCTGTGAGGGCTTATTAGTTGGAGTGTTGATTCGTTGTTTGCATTGCTTTCTGAAATTGGTTATCCAGCTGGGCATTGATTATAAGACATTTGATCTCTATTCCACTTCTAATTCCTTGAAAGTTCACATTTATTTGAGTTAGAATGACAACAGACTCATTATATAAGGTGGAACTCAAGTTTGCATGCTATATTGCAGGTAATTAGATAATACATATGGACTGTCTTTTTTATTCCGGCCGTAGGCATTTAAAAGTCTTTTCTTGTAACTTCTTTATTTCTGAAGGTGATTATTTTGTGTGTGTGTGTGTG